TAACCACACCCTTCTGTGTATACTAGTTATGGTGTATGACCACACCTCTTGGTTTACAGTGGTCATGGGCCAGTGATTGGTTATGGTGTGTTCAGTCATGTGAGGATACTTTGGATAGTGTGACCACCATCGTGAACCGCTACCACTCAGTCTGACTGGTCACAATAACACCAACAATTGGTGAACTATACTGTATACATACACCCGGGTTTACAGACCAGCTCTGTCGACCCACTCATGTGCTCTGCTATCTCAGGCTGGTTCAATATTTTCCTTACTGGTTATCTCGGTTAGATCATTGGTGTGGAAACATGTTTTAGAAATGGTCATTTTCACAGTGTCAGTGTTTTGACATTATGGGAACCAGTGAGTTTCTCTGTTTGGAGTAGCTATTAGAAAGCAAGGCCCTGAAGCGGGATCATAGCTACTGTAAGGAGTCAGTTTGTTCTGTGGAGGGACACAGCAGATCACACTCTACACAACATCTCAGCAACTTACATCAGTTGTGAATTGACAATTGTGTTTTTATGGGTTGTGATTTGACCATTATGATAAGACTGGATTGTTACCTGCAGGCATAACATTGAGCTACTTAATTTCAGTTTAGCTACCTACTGAACTCCTTTGTTGTTGTCCTATATTGCAGGTAAGAATATATATTTATACATCTTTTGTGTATGTTATGCTTGAGCAGACAATCACCTTTTTATCTAGGTCTTCAACTTTTCTTTGATTTAAAAAGGTTATGTATCGTGTACAGGTAAAAGTTGTGGAATGTTATAGCCTGTCTTAGGTACAAATTGTAGTAGTACAGTGCTAGACAGACAGGGGTGTTGGTCCTGCCAAGTGTCAAGGTCTTTACTACTACAGAATTGCTGCAGTATACATTTGTATGTTCCAGTAGATGTATATTACATGTGGCACATGTGTTTCATGTCTTTTGTGGAATAGATTTCTGCTGGTATGGTTGTAGATTTAAGTGAAACCCAGGTTAGTGGAACATCAGCCTACCTAAGCAGATCAACAGTTCAACCTGTGAGGTAAGCTAATGTAATTCATGCATTCGTGTTTGGTGTGTAAGTTAGTGAATATATATATACCTATCCCTTCTGATGCAGTTTTGATGTTTAACGTTAGGAAAATCTCATTTGGAAAGATTTAAACATAGTCTTAAATGTTCCAAGGCCATGAGATTCAAACCAGAAATGTGTGCTTTACATTTATTAGTTAGTTGATAAGTCCAGATGTACCACATTATATCAGTATTTAAAGAGAATAGACGGTTTTATATCAAGTAGAAATCATAAATGTTTGGAATAATAATCGTCTTCTCATAACTGTTGTACTTCATTAGTTGCATAAAATGTACAAGAGTTGAAGAAATTATTTGATTCTGGAAAAAGGAAATATTGATCAGTTAAGTTGTCCATGGTCGATTTTAACCTTTAATAAAATTCTTCTTAATAACCAGTTTAAGAGGCTCAGGTACATGATAAAGGACCAGTAGTAAGCTGAATTGAAGAGCAGCGAAGTGTTCTCATGAATGACCTTGACCCACTTTTAAGGTTTTGGGTGAAATGTATGAAAGTCTTTCTAACATTTCTCCTCAGTAATCAGGTCAAGGTCATAATATTGGCATATAGCCTGCTAGAAAGGCTAGAATGACCTGTTTGTTCAAATGAATTACCTTGACTCTGACACTTTGAATATCACAGCAGTGAAATGTGTTTAGATCCTTTATTACCTAGGATGCTATGATAATAGGTAAACAAGTTTGTTGAATTGAATGACCTTGACCCACTTTTTAAAGTCACAGCTGCTAAATGTGTTGTTATAAATGTGATTGATACACTTCCTCTCAGTAACCAAAAGATCCTGAAGGGTCCTGAAATTTTACCAGTGAAATGATCTCAACCGACTTTCAATGTCACATGCATGTGGTCAGATGTTTTAAAATCTTCAGACTACTTCTTTTCAGTAACCAATATCCTAGGCCTAGTGTCATGGTATTGCTACAATATCATGCTGCAATACATTACTTTTTCAGCTACAAAACAGTACATACTTATTGATGGCTACATGCAGTGTTGACATGCTCATGGAAAGAAGAATCTTCCAAATTTTATTTTCTCTATACCATTATGTTTACTTTGTCTTATTTGCACAGGTTTATTCCAATTTCCATGGATTTGACATGTGGATGAAGTCACATGACCAGTTTCGTGTAGCATTTAATGAAAAGCTTAGGTGAAAAACTGACAGAAATTTCCATTTATATGCAAATGTAGAAACAGTTACAATTTTTGTTATTGCCAGACAATGGATTATCTCCAACAGCACGCATCACTCCAATGACTGCACATGTACATCCTTTTTGTAAAAAGCAAAATCGTTAAATCATCAGTCAGGGTGAGATGGAATCAAGGAAATCTGCTTCTAGTAGGAATTGTCAGTTAGATCTCGCCGAGTGGTGGTTAGGGGGCAGCTGGGAGCAGTCTAATTTAGGCGGGAGGGGAAATTGGTTATATCAGAGGTTATTTAATATACTAGTATGGGACTGCAGATTATTTTACTACAATTTTGCTGCAAATGTTTTTTACCTCCAGATCTGATTAACTTTATAAATACATCCACCAGAAATGCAAATGGCTGTGTACACCTGCAAGAATCCTTTTAATGTTTTAAATAGGAGTGACTTGTGGTAAAACAAATAGTGACAGTGGTAAAAATACTGACTGGTTGATATATAAGCAGCTCTCTATGGTGTTTTAATGTCCTGTCACAGATAATAAGAGAAAGGAGAGGTTGCCATGGTAACAGAATGTAAAACATTAGAGGAGTATAGACATTACCATATGTATTACATTGTATTACAACTGACATGTTTCCCTGTGAACAGCTGTCCAAGAAGAAAGAATGGAAGGGTTTTAATGCCCAAGTAAGCCAGAATACCCAGAGAAAGTCTACATTAAGGGTAGACAGGAAACTCCATACAATTTCATTCCTTATCTGGTAATCAAACCAATTAATTGGATGAGGACAAGTACTCCGACTACTACACTCATGCACTTTCTAAAGAACACATTTTTAATAAATAAAACACTGTTGAAATATTTAGAGAGATATAAATTACCTTCTATAAGTGTTATACAATGTTTATAACAAATTCCTGATGTGTTGTGGAGCTTTGACAGCTGCTGATATTAGTACACTCATATGTTACATGTACCCTTAGCTGTCGTAATAAGTGGCAGCTGAGTACACCTGTACCTTATATGTACCCTAAGCTGTTGTAGTAAGTGACAGTGACAGCTGAGTACACCTGTATGTTATATGTACCCTAAGCTGTTGTAGTAAGTGACAGTGACAGCTGTGTACACCTGTACCTTATATGTACCCTAAGCTGTTGTAGCAAGTGACAGTGACAGCTGAGTACACCTGTATGTTATATGTACCCTAAGCTGTTGTAGTAAGTGACAGTGACAGCTGAGTACACCTGTACCTTATATGTACACTAAGCTGTTATAGTAAGTGACAGTGACCGCTGAGTACACCTGTACGTTATATGTACACTAAGCTGTTGTAGTAAGTGACAGTGACAGCTGAGTACACCTGTACCTTATATGTACCCTAAGCTGTTGTAGTAAGTGACAGTGACAGCTGAGTACACCTGTACCTTATATGTACCCTAAGCTGTTGTAGCAAGTGACAGTGACAGCTGAGTACACCTGTACATTATATGAACACTAAGCTGTTGTAATAAGTGCCAGTGGCAGCTGTGTACACCTGTATGTTATATGTACCCTAAGCTGTTATAGTAAGTAAGTGACATTGTATGTTACAGCTGTTGTAGTACCACAGCTGTGTACCTTATATGTACCATAAGCTGTTGTAGTAAGTGACAGTGTGTACACCTGTACCTTATATGTACCCTAAGCTGTTGTAGCAAGTGACAGTGACAGCTGAGTACACCTGTACCTTATATGTACCCTAAGCTGTTGTAGTAAGTGCCAGTGGCAGCTGTGTACACCTGTACCTTATATGTACACTAAGCTGTTTCAGTAAGTGACAGTGACAGCCAAGTACACCTGTACGTTATATGTACACTAAGCTGTTGTAGTAAGTGACAGTGACAGCAAAGTACACCTGAACATTATATGTACATTAAGCTGTTGTAGTAAGTGACAGCTGTGTACACCTGTACATTATATGTTAATTTGCACACCTCCCTCTGTCCCTCTTGCAGCTCTGCTATATACTTTTCTTGTTTCAAGGCATCAATTAGTGGTAGATAAGACATTGAATTACAGTATCATTTAGATAGACGGGGGATTTGAGTAATTATTAGATATTTTAGTGTGCTTAATGAATGTTTGTCACAAGTTTTATGAAGATTATATACTTACCAATCACTATATGTGACTGTGCACCTCAGCTTCAATTTAAACTGTACTGAATTAAACTTTTCAAGAGTACAAAGGAAATCAATGTATAAGATGGTCAAAATGTATGGTTAATTGATTTTATCTAGCTTTTCATTGTCATGTTCTTGATTTCAATCAAATATTGAGTTCTCAATTCATAACTGCATATACTTGAATAGTAATTTGAATAGCTGTTTTGATATTGAAAAAATATTTCAAGACTTGTGTACATGTGTTGAATTGTGGAACCCAGAAAGATGGAGACCGTGGAAATTTGGCAAAGTGTTTAAGAAGAATGCATATTGTCTGTCAATGAGATGTATATATGCATAGGGTTTGTGTGCAGAAACCCCATTCAGATTAGAGTGAGGGAACTACTCAGTGATTGCCTGTCACATGTTACCTACACCGAGGTGAAAGCCTCTTTACCAATATACAGCAATGGTAAGGTCATTACCGATGTTTCTAACTTCTTGGAGGGAGAATGATTGCTTAGGGAGAAGGATGGCATGGAGAGGACTAAAGGCATCATTCATCCTGACTAACCAGAGTGAAGATAAGCATTAGATCTATGATAAATGTTATCTGAAGAAAGACAACTTTCAGAATAAGATTATTGAGGTGTCTGTGTAGAGGAGCGTTAAAGTGGATGTAAACTCCAGGCATTATCAGCTGATGGATTCAACACAATTCTCTACTCAAAGTTGGTTCAGTGCTGTTTATACCTAATAAGAGTCCAAAGTACAATTGTTATTGATTTTATAAGCATTGTTTTATTTGTTCATTCAGCCAAGGTCATTAACGTCAGAAGGTCATGGTAACCATGGCAGTAGTGCAATATGATATCAGGAGTTGTACTATTAAATAATACATGTGCCTATGTGTAAATGACTAGAGATTACCTGCAGTGTGTTATGCTCTTCAGCTGTCCCGACTTCTGCAGGTAGTGGTGCAGCATGTTACATATTACAGCATGCCAGAGATGAAAGTTGATGTGAGAGAGATTTATGGCGATATTTTAGTGAGTGGAGAAGACCTACAATGTAAACATGGTGCTATGTTCTGTTCTTCCTTAGATGTGTTACAGCTGCTACGTTGTACCTGTATACTTTTCCTTGTTGTTGTGGTCTTGTAATCACATCATGTATATCGGTGCTCTGAGTGCTTTGTGTGATTCTACTTGGCAGTGTAAAGGGAATCTCTAATTTAACTTCCATCTCAAAAACTACATGCTTACATACTGGATATAACTATTCAACAGGTGATCTGTGTGTGTAAATTTAAAGAACTTCAGAAACGACTCATGCCTGAGGCCTCTGTATGTATATCTAGCATTGTTGATGTTTTTAATATCAGTGTAGTATAACTGATACTGACCAATATAGATTGTACTATTATATTCTTTTTTTGGGGAGGGGAGTGGGGGGGGGGGGGGGGGGGGGGGGGGGGGGGGGGGGCGTTGGTTGGTTGGGATTGTGAACTTCTTGCTTCTTACTCCATGGTAGGTAGCTTATAGAACTGTAATCAAAGGAGAACAGCGTTGTTCTTAAAGATTAAAGATTTTGGGAACAGTAGCATGTTTGTACAAGGTCAAAGGTGTGAATACATTAGTGATTATAAATACCGTCTTCAGGGTTTGGGACAATCTTCATAGTCAAATATGATAATACTGTGTTAAAATTCTTAAGAATGTGTATCAATTTTCAAAATAGAATATTTTCAAATTATACAGCAATTTGAATAATGTTCAAATTCCAATGTTATATTTTTGTCATTTTTATTCAGATATGCTGGTGACAATCATTGCCTGAGAAAATATGGCACTGAAGCAGCCTGAGAGGTGAAAGCGGATTCTGTGATTCTGGCCAGTTCTGTGACTTATTGTGTGAGTAAGGAAGGGAATAATTTATTGGACATGTCGTCAGGATCAGGGGAGATCACTCCCATTGACCAGGGAGCAGTTGGAGGTCAAGATGATGATGGGGCCAAAGTCACATTTGAAGGTAACAGTTAACAGTGCTTCTATAATGATACAAAACGTGTTTTGTTCATGGAATCCTAATCACCTTTCATAAGTATGAAACGGAACTGTTACACAAATAGTATTATCGGTTGTATACATCTCAGTCGCAGAAAGAAACAAGGGAACGTAATCATTCCCTATCTAAAAAGGGAGAAAATCTTTGTGGCAGGATGATGATAAGGTGACAAGTTTGCTTTAAAAAATGTCTCCTCCAGAAGGTTTTAATGACATGGTATCTGTAGCATCTTTAACACATAGTATCAAAAGTTTTTCAGGTAAATTAACTGATTGTTCTGGAAACTGAAGGGCAGGGTTGAAGGGATAGAATTTAACAGTTTTGTTTTAAAAGACATTTGGATCTCTGAAACTACAAGAGTACTTAGCAGCAGATTTCAACCAAATTATACTGGTACCAATCTTGGCTTAGAGCAAGAATACATGTATTTCCCCACTGATTGTATTCTGTATTAGTCAGATTTCAAGTATACTTTAGTGGTGTAGTATTAAAATTACGTGTAAACTTTTTACTGTCCTTCCATCAAAGATGAAACGTTCAAAAAGCATGGCACTCCAGGATAAGATCAAGCCATTGGCTTTGTAGTTTTCTTACACTTTATCATGTTCTTTTTTAAAGTGATTGTTTATGAATGCCATTGGTAATGAGTGTTTCCCACACAAGTTGTTTTAGTATTTGGGTAAATTTAAAAAGCTAGGTCCTTATCTCGTGATATTGCTCGTCTTTTACAAACCTATGTTTGACATTGATGTCACAACCTGGTGTTACATAAAACAATTTTGAATCTTACTTAATAACCTGTTACATAATCTTACCAATTTGGGGATTACAATGAGTTTAGATACAGAATCTCCTGTATTTCTCCAAGAACAGGGAAGTTTATCAGATGAAGGCCTGACTACATCAGTCTGAAAATTTGTCTTATCAAATAAAATCTTTCTCCATTAATCTGATATGGTTTTTTGAAGAATGCAAGCAAGTTGTTTACAGTTGGTAGGATATGTTTACCACTACTTGGCATAAGACATCAGTTTTTAAGACATTTTATTGATGTTTTAAAAAAGATATGTATGAATGCAGAAAGGATTTGTTTGAATAACAATAAAGTGTTATGCTTTACAAATAAACTGTAAATACATATACAAAAAGGTCATCTGTCTGAAATTTACAACATGTTTAATTCTCTGGTCATGGGAAAAACAGTAAATCAGTTAGGTCCTTTCAGAATGTATTACAGTATATCCGGGAGGTGCTACTTAATGAAGTCCTGATCACATGGCAGAATATCAAAACTATTTTAATCTGAAATGTAGATCAGCTGGCAGATACACATGGACATACATAACATCAGAACTTTACCGCACTTTATTTATCTTTGTTTTTCTCGAAATACATAACTTCCCATTGGATATTATTAGCAGAGAATTTTACAAGAAAATGTTATAAATTATACGGCTGATGACACATAAGTGTCTCATACGAACCTGACCATGTGTAAACTGAATATGATATGATCGGTAATGATAATTTAAAATAGGAGTTTAGATACTCCAAAGAATAAACAAACAAAATCCAAGGAAAATCACTATTGTTATGGGAAAAACAACTCAAATTACAAATTTAATATCTTCAAACAATTTCTGTTAGAAACAAGTTAGTATGGCGCATCTAAAAATTAACTTTTGGGTTTAGACTTCAAGAAAAATGTGCTACCTGTTAATGGGATATTGTGCTTGTTATCACATTTCCTTCTGACAAATGAAACATGATATTAAGTGGGTTTCAATGTATAATGTTTCTATAAAATGCACATTTACTTGAGAAGTACATTATTCTATCGTTAAATGTGACCTATAACCTCAACAAAGTTAAGGAGACATATGCTATACCAGGTATGACCTATATTTCAGGTTTGTTTGACTCCTTTGTCTCTCTAGGTATTTCTCCAAGCATTTCTACATAAGTTGTTTTTTTTAATTGATAAATGTTTTGTTATTGCATTTGTGAACCTAATTAGTTTGTTCGAATCAAACAAGATGTCAACTGGGATAATTATGAAACGAGTCATAGGTCAAGGTTGTCAAAGAAAAAAGTCAAGGTCGATTTGTTATGATTAAACTTTTGGATATAAAATGAAGCATACTTTTTTGTATATAGTGAGATTGGAAGTCTTCTACCAAAGATCAAGATTATGGGATCAAAGGTCAAATTTAGAACAAAATGTTGATCAAAATTAAATAAGGTGAGCTACATTTTTGAGAATTACAGTTATAATGAATTAAATCATGTTAACACATTCTGTGTGATTGCAAAATATTGGTAATGTTTTTTGTTCATTACATGTGCCTGGGTAAATAACTTATGTGTGCTGCTTGGACCATGTACCATAAAGGTCAATTATATTTAATCCCTTGGTGGCAGTCTGTTCATCTGTATGTGTACCTCTTTATCAAAATCAGTTTTCTACTACAAATACAGATATATCATGAATCAACAATGTACCTGTAAGTTGGTGAAGAATGTTAGCCCTTTATCATCATGAATGAATTGATGTAACTTGTCTCAGAATTCAATGCTTGAGAAACTCTTGAGAAGGCAATGGGTTGTTAGCTGAAAATAGATTTATATACCCAACTATAAGCGAGTTATAGCCCATTAATGGTTGTATACATGACTGTTACATATCTCTCTTACTTTGGTCTCTGTCCCATGTAATTACAAGAGTTTTATGTATGCTATATCTCATGGGACGACACCAGTGTACTCACTTTGGGGGTCATTACCTTTTTTAAACTATTATAGCTTAGCCTTTGATAATTTTGTTAAGTTTGTCTGGAGAATTAAGGAATGCAATTTGAATTACTCATTATCAGGATATTTTGAATTCTTGTGTCACTGAAACTTCACATGACTATTGACATTGTTGTCATTTTAACATTATCCAATATCAATGTGTTTTAATTGCAATTCATATACATAATGTTTAAAAGGCTATGATATGCCACACATTCTAGACATATCAGTACACAAAGACAATAATTGTTTGCAGTATATCTATAAACATGTGTTAAATCATAAGCTAAAATGTAATGACTTGTATCATTATGGCATGGTGGAATTTTAGGTTAGATAATTGTGCTACACTAATGCTGATAGGAATAGACATAAGAAAAGAATTACTTGAACAAAAGATAATAAGTTGTTTATACCTATTACATAAGAGACCTAAATTACCTTACAATGTTTTTGCTGTTTTTATATATATTCTACGTGAATTTGTAATTAACACACAATCAAACTTGACCGATAGCCTGGCGCAGGAATGTGAGGTCACCTGTCAGATGTGTATACATCCTGGTCTAATGACTTTCCTCAGAAGGTATACTATGGAGGATACTGTAGATGAGATCTCAGATGTTCATTTGTTATGAAATTGATCTGTTACCAAATTATGATATAATACAGTATACAATAGTGGCCTTCAGGGTCTTTCATATGTACCAGTTTCATGAATATTTATTGAATTTGGTTACAAGTACATGTCAGTATATCGTAAGATAAATTAAGGGAAGAATTTCTAGTGTTTTTTCCTCTGTATTTTTCCGAATAAACAAAACAATAAGCTAGAAAACAGTATTTTAGTCTGTGTATATGATTGGTTGATATGGCAGGCCAGATCTGAATTCATTTGCTCATATTTTATATATTAGCAAGGGAAGATGAGCTTAAAGTTGTCAAAACGTAGCATCATCAAGTTTCCTTTTATACAGTAGTTAGAATGATGTAATGACTTGCTGATACTCAGAAATGTGCACTACTATAGATATAGTGTGAATTATCAGTGTCAGCTACTTATATAGAAAAATAATGGAACTTGAAACATTCTGAAGAAGTGTAAAGTATCTGAAGATTTGATACGGAAGTGCTTATACTTTACAAATCAGAAGTGTTTCCAATTTCATTATTTAGACATCATCCATTAAGCCATTGCATGACAATGAACCGACCCATATCTATAACAGTTCATTAGATACACCAGCAAATACTATGTAAATTCTTATATTAAGCCCACCCCTTGAATTCGATTGAAAGGTTATACCTGTGTGTTGGATATGGGGTTTTTAGCTGGATAAATACAGTATTATATTAAGGAAATAAGTTTAGAATCCTATCAGGGTGGTAAGTGATCCATTTGTTTCAAAGTCATTGAACATGCATGTTTCGCCCATAATAGCTAATGTAGTGGTGAAACACCTGTGTTACTGTGATGTATCAATCTTTTGTAAATGACAGTGACTAGATATACAACTGTAGAATCGATTTAAGGTCACACTAGTTTACACTAGCATGCACCTGTATTTCCAGTCACTTCCAGTCATCAGAAAAAATATGAACTGATTTTTTTTTATAACAACAGCATACAGTAGACGAGGACACAAACATATAGTTGGGATTTTATGTACAGTTATAATCTACAGAAAATACAACAAGTACAAGATTGGTAAAGAATTGAACACAGCAAACAAGAGACAGGTGCCAAGGGCAGACAACTAAACACAAATACAAAGAAAAATAGAAACTAGAGACAAATACTAAAGATGCTGGAATGGCAGTCTTTTCTTGACTATTTAACAAAGTATTTTACAATAAACCAGAAACCTTTATTACCAGATCAAGTGAAGCCTGGTTTTATTTAGACAGAAGACAGATGGTGCCTGGGGTTACTATACATCTCATAAAGATATACTTGTGTGTATATCAACTGCCTGTAACAGGAATATACAAAAGGGTAGCTGCTATTATATATACAGGATATCTCTGTCAGGTTTCTCACAGAAAACATGTTTCTTGTCAAATGAAAAATTTAAAAATTCCCATATGATTATGTAGAAGATTACTGTCTTCTTACAAACATTGATAAAATATTCCAGCAGGATTTCCATGCAAACAGGTAGCTCTAATTTCTCAGGCATTGTGTTTTAGCTATTATTAAGATAAACACAGATCAGTCATACCCTATATATTTAGGTGTGGTACCTTTCAGGTGGATTTATTTCTCATAATATATGCAATTTAAAGATTGTAAACAGATAAACTCTTTATCATATAAAATTGCTAATTTTGTGTGGAAACTATTTTTGTTGAATTTGCCCATACTCTAAATCAACAGATATTTATGTCCAGAAAATTATAAACAGATAAATGTTGACATGGGTTATAGTACTTAGGGATCCTTTGACCATGATTTAACCATTCAATCCAGTGCCAACAAAAATGTCCATTTTTGGAAAATCAAGAAATTTGAATGCTACAAAAATAAATGAATTTACATAAATTATAATCCTAAGAAGTAAAAAGGATGGATATCAAACATTATATTCTGTACAATTATGCATATTTATCTAAGATGTTTGGTAACCTATATTTATTTCTGTGTAGTATAATCACCAACTTCTACTATATTTCAATTTCCTGTAATGATCCCCATCCAAGAGTCCTATACATAGAATGCAAGCTATTCAGTTTTGTGTAAAGTTACAAGCATTTGTCGCAATTTATTTAAAAGAATAAAATTAATCTTTTTGAACAATATATGTATGGCTAAGGGGCAGAGTTAATTGGTAGATCTGGAACTGGGGACACCAAGGTCGTTAATAACAGATTACGAACTGTTAACAGTGATCAGAGTTTATTTAAATGGTGCAATATTGAACAATATAACAATGCTAGAGATTGGAACACAAGCTAATGTGATTCAGAAAATGGTAACTGGAGACATCAGAATGGTGATACAGTTAGTATAGATCAATTATCAATCAGTGCACCTATCAGTCTGAATACCTGTATTAATACATTCCTGTGGTAATGTAAAATTCTTTCCCTTTTCCTAATCATACAAAATGAGTCATTGATGTGTCCTGGAAAAGATAACATTTCTCTACCAAAGGAAAGCTCTCTATTGACCAAGATTAAAACATGGACTAGGTCTACAGCTGTCAAATTAACATTCAGTACTGATTGCCATACTCTGCAGTAATCACAGTGTCCATCTCATTATACACACGTACAATTGGTAGGAAATTACATAGACACAGATATAAAGGTCTTAATATACATTGTACATGGCTACCATTCTAATGTAATAGGTGATATTTTGATAGTGTAAACATATTATATATCTGATTGAATCTCGACCAGCTTTAAATCGTAAGCTGTTTGGTGGATAGATCGTCCAGGTTTCCTTGCAATAGGTAGTAGCTCCTAGGGTGAACAACAGGGGAGGCACATTGCATATCATCCAGAGCAATTAGGGGAAGGTGTCTTCTCCAAAGACACAATGATGACAGCACAGACTGATTCATTTCTCAGCTTCCAGAGAAACACAAACAGCCACGCGTTAGAAGTGTCAAACCGTGCACCACCTCAGATCTTCACCTGAAATACATTGGCCAATGCTGATTGAATGTTTGATTGACAGGTTTTCCATCTCTGTTACTCCTCTCATGTTCGAGTATCATTTCACCAATAACCGTCAGTGTTCTAGTGACGTAGGCCAATGTTTAAACCAACTAAACTATCACAGCCCCTAAATCATAAACCCCACACTGGCAATAGTAAAGGCTAATGATGGCAATCAAGTGGTTGCCAAAAGCTACCCATTGAGTAGATTCTTGAGTCCCTGTAAAACATTTGTTTATTGTTCTGTACTCGATATCTTCTCTGACTATACAGTGTTTGCCTAAAACAAAAATGTAATTCTTTTAACATGTATCAGGTGATATTTTGATATGTTTGATATGGAAAATATATTTGTTTACCCAATGTAAAGTAGTTTGATTCAGACAGAGAAGTTATATTTAGTAATAAAGGAATTATTATCAGGTGTAGCCTATAGATTTAGATCTATATAAACAGGTCATAGTCAAACTTAAGAAATCAGGGGGTGTAGCCTATAGATTTAGATCTATATAAACAGGTCATAGTCAAACTTAAGAAATCAGGGGGTGTAGCCTATAGATTTAGATCTATATAAACAGGTCATAGTCAAACTTAAGAAATCAGGGGGTGTAGCCTATAGATTTAGATCTATATAAACAGGTCATAGTCAAACTTAAGAAATCAGGGGGTGTAGCCTATAGATTTAGATCTATATAAACAGGTCATAGTCAAACTTAAGAAATCAGGGGGTGTAGCCTATAGATTTAGATCTATATAAACAGGTCATAGTCAAACTTAAGAAATCAGGGGGTGTAGCCTATAGATTTAGATCTATATAAACAGGTCATAGTCAAACTTAAGAAATCAGGGGGTGTAGCCTATAGATTTAGATCTATATAAACAGGTCATAGTCAAACTTAAGAAATCAGGGGGTGTAGCCTATAGATTTAGATCTATATAAACAGGTCATAGTCAAACTTAAGAAATCAGGGGGTGTAGCCTATAGATTTAGATCTATATAAACAGGTCATAGTCAAACTTAAGAAATCAGGGGGTGTAGCCTATAGATTTAGATCTATATAAACAGGTCATAGTCAAACTTAAGAAATCAGGGGTTGTAGCCTATAGATTTTTATCTATATACAGGTCATAGTCAAACTTAAGAAATCAGGGGTTGTAGCCTATAGATTTTTATCTATATACAGGTCATAGTCAAACTTAAGAAATCAGGGGTTGTAGCCTATAGATTTAGATCTATATAAACAGGTCATAGTCAAACTTAAGAAATCAGGGGGTGTTGCCTACAGATTTGGATCTATATAATCAGGGGGTGTAGCCGAAAGATTTAGATCTATATACAGATCATAGTCAAACTTGAGAAATAGAGGTTGTAGCCTATAGATTTATATCTATATACAGATCATAGTCAAACTTAACAAATAGGTCCAACTGTAGACAATATAAAGTTGTCTCAAGTGTTTATAACATTTTTTATTAGGAGATATGGGGTATACCCATCAGTGTTGCATGTTTTGAGTATATTATGTACATGGATCAGGTTCCGGGATCCATGGTATTTTAGCCCTGTCTGGACGGGAGCAACATAGCTACTGCCAATGTGATCTATATGTAAATCACAAATGTTATGTTTCTGAATCATAGCCAGAGACGATGAGTCACATTTATTGATTGTTGTCAGTTAAAAAAGTGTGATTACATAGAAACAACAGAGAAAGCTATTGCTGCTGGGGTGTTAGTTTCTGTCCATCAGGCATTAATAGGTACATGTATATTTTATAATAGGGCATTTAAACTGTTCCCATGGGGAGAAGTTGTGTGAAAATCAATAGTATGTGTATTTTAAATATCATTTGGAGATGCAAAATTGAGTGCAGCAAAATTGCAAATTGCTGAAGATTAATGTATATGTTTTACAATACCTCACTCTGATAATACGATGTAGAATATAATCCATTAAGTCAATACAGGTGCTCATTTGATGCGTATTAACACTCTTTAAGTGCAGTTAGCTGTCTTTATTAGTCCAATATAGAGGTTTCTAGAATTCAGTTGATGCTAAAATATTAGTTTGATTGATTAGTTTTATGCCAGGTCTGTAAATTTTTAATGTCAAATGTTTGACAATAAAGGGAATTACACATAATTGAAAAAGGGAATTTTTTTTACAATGATTATATTTATAACTTGGTATCTGAGAGTTATTTCCCTTTGATTGGAGTAATGTAGCTCATGTTACAGATATATATGTTAAATTGCTGTCATCTTAATATCTACTTAGGTGGCTTAACATTTATACTGTCAGCCCTCTTGAACTGATTAGTTCATATTATTTCTGCTAATGCATTGGTTGAATTTTAAATTTTATTTTATAGAATTTTGAAAGAAGCTGTAATTGTATAAACTGAAGAACAATTGGAAAATCAATATTATTTTGGGCTTGATTGACTTGCATAGCAATGGTCCTATTCCTTGTGAGATTAAGGGAATTGACCCCTCACTTTTTAGGTCAGTAATTAAAATTTCAAACAAAGTTGAACTTCCAGATAATTTTTACAGTACAATTTTGTTTTCGGGATTTTTAGAGTTTGGAGTTTAATATATCCAAGGCAAGATTTAACTTATCATATATGTAATAGAAATCTATATTCTTATATTTTTTATTTCAGATGGAAGAGGTGATGGGAAGAAAAAGAAATTCAAACCTTTGGAGAGAATGTTTAAATTTTTTAAGAGTGGAAAGAAGCGTTCCAAGTCCAAGGAGAGGGATCCTAATATTGTTTCTGTGAAATCCAAGTCTACTAGTGCTTTACACAAGGAGGTTCCTCATGGGGAGGACGACGAAGAGGATGGCGGGTAATTATTGAGGGGCAGAGTATCCCTCAGATGGCAGGGTATCTCTCTTGGGAAGGATTGACATGTAATTATAGATGGGCAACAAAGAACGAAAGAAATACTCTAATGTGATATGGGAGACAAATGTTTTTCTGTGGCATCAGTAAACAGAAAGGATATGATGTTTGTATAAAACTTACAGAATGGCAACCTAAATACTGACTGTAAATATGTTAAAGTTTTATTTCTGTGTTTGAAGTTTAATGGCAGAAAGGTTTTATGTATATGAGGAAAGGAAACTAGGTTCATAGGTTTAATTTGATTGGAGCCATATGGACGTCTTGTATTGACGAGGCATATATAGATTCATAGACAAAGGTCAAGGTTCAAGGAAATAGATGTCTTGAATAAATCAACACTTTCATATACCGAAAAACTATAGTGATTTATAATTCCAATCAACATTTGTGTCTGGAAAGCAATTTAATTTTGATAGGTTATAATCTAGAGTAATCTGTAGTCTCAAAAGAACAAAACTGAGTAATCCAGAGATAAAGTGAGTGAAATTCCTTTGTAAACAAATTTTGGATGAGAGTTCAGGATAATAAAAATTAATGATAAAAATATTAGCCTGATAAAACTTCATTATGTTCCATGTGATAGACTAACAGCTGAATTACAAGGGACACAGTTTGTGTTTTGTAGATAACATTCATTTACACTTTGATAAATGCCATCGGTGATCAGGGGTTAGAATTCTGGAGTGAATCGATGTCTCTGTTAGCTATAGCAATACCTCTGATGAATTATAATTATTCTGTCAGTCAGGACTCCTCCTCGTCAGATGTTTTCTACATCATGATTAAAGAATCATTTGTGATAACCAGTGCAATACACATCAGGCTGACTGGCACATCATTAATAAATTGCACTCTAATGGCTTCCATAATTCAAGATCATAGTCTGATGATAAAAAACTGGGAGATTTGGTAATGGGTGCTTTAAGTAGGGATTCGGCTGTTTTAGGGTTTCAACCACAGGCTTTTGAGTTTCTAGATATGGGTCACCTCCATCTAATATTGATGATTTTTAAAGTGAAAAAGGCATAATGGAACAAATTGAATTATTTCACAAACATGTGATGTATCTGTTATTGAAGTAGCTTATTTTCAAATATTTTATTTTCATATTGAGGAAAAATTGTAAGGAAGAAGAAAATTAACCTTAATTTGAAATAAATAAGTTGTTGCTTGTAACAGTCCAAAATGACCCAATGACCTATATTTACTATTAAATGTACTGCATAGAAACTTCACCAAGGTTTTAATTGCATAAATATTAACCTTGAAGATCTTAAAACTTTTTGTGAGCATATTTTAAACAGGTCATATACTTTTAAGCAGTACCTTTCAATAAAGTATTATATTATCTGGTATGTATCGGTATGCATGGCCACTATAGAGTAAAAACATGTATATAATATAGGAATTTCACACTGAATGCTCAGACAAGCTGTTCCCTCCCTAAGGCCAGACAAATTATTGTTGTGTTGCCTGTTTCTAAACAATTATGCACAAAAAGATAAAACAAGGAAATTGAACTGATATTTCATAAGAATTTTTTAAAGAGATGAAATTGCACTCTCACTTTCAGATTATTTTTACAGGCATCAGGTATGAAACAAGTTGTGTTACCTGTGTCCAAACAACTAATGTATCTGCATCAATATGTAATCTTTAGTTAAATGTAGGGGTAATATATAATATTATGTACGTTACAAGCAAAGAAAAAAAAATTCTATGATGAAATTAAACAATTGAAAATATTTCTTGAACAGCCCATATTATGTTATTTTTTCTATATCACAGCTACTATTTTATTTCTTTGGTCCAACATAAATGTTTGTAAATGTGTACAACACCCTAGTTGTTTATTCATTGTCCTTTTCTGCTTTAATATTCCCAGGAGATGTGTACTTCTTAATGTTATAAATATTTCATTACCATGAATATCCATACATGGTAACTGTGGACTGTGATGTTTGTGGTATGGATTTTTAGTTCAGTCTGTTGCAGCTGACAAGAGGACATGAAGATATGTCACCACTAACACACACTTGTGTATACTGATTTTTACACAATTTGATGTACATATATCAGGCATGGATGTAGCTTTAAAACCTACAGATGTTCTTAAATATATCAAATTTTGTAAGATGCATCTGTTATGTTTTGACACGTATTTTGATTAAGGAATATAAGAACTGCGGAGAAGCCTGGAGAAAAATAATGAAGTAAAAAAAAATTGTGACAGGATTTTTCACAGGTTGTGCTCATTGGTGATTGTTACTTCATAAGATTGAACCAAATCTTATTTAGAATGGGAATTAGACTTTGAAACTGATATTTTTCTTCAACAGATTTCAGCGTGTGCCTCTCGGGGGAACTCGAAGTATATCAGAAGACAGTGTGTTTAATCCAGAGCAACGAGATCTGACAGGCATGCGCAAGACTGCAGTATCTATGGAGAATATCAAACAGGATTTTAGGGTAGGTATTTAGGGAGATGTGTAAATACACTACAGACTAAAGATTTTACAACAAATGGCAAAACAAAACCCATGATTTACATCAGATTGAGATATCTGGAGAACCCTAAAATACATACTTAAGGTCAAATTTGAGTACCTTGCCACATGTACTCGAGATCTTTTGACTACAGCTGGTACCATACAATGTAATACTTAAGATCTTCTGAGTGCCATGGTCTCCATTCTAAATGTAAAAGTGCATTAATATACTTGATATCTTAGAATTGTCATAGTAATCCTATGAGTATAATTGGAGTGCATGTTATAGATACCCATGGTGTTAGACTCCTTAATATTAAAATTATAAATTATATCATAGTATTAATACTCAGAATTTGAGTGTAATTTTATAGTATCAGTCCTCTGTAGATTTAAGGAATACCCTAAATAGTAAATATTGGTACCAGTATTTATTACACGAGAGCTATAAATACATATATTAAAAACCCTGATTCGTCTCATTGCTTCAAATTTGTAAACAAGTATCAAGTGTTATATATGATTTCAAACATGAAATTGAAATCTTATATTATATTATGATTATAAGTCATTGCATTGAGTGCATGGATTTTTTTAAATTAATCAAAAGTTGAAAATTGACAAAAATGGTATTACTAGAAATAATATTGACATTTCAATAGTTTACTACTGTAACACAAATAGCATATATTTTGTTTTAGGCATTGATTGTAGATTTGTGATATTAAAGATAAGAAGAAATGTATTTTGATTGGTTTAAAAATTAGTCATGAAGTGGAGATTGAGGCTTTTATTAGGACATGTGTGAAATGTTATATGTCCAACCCAAAATAACAAGACAGGCTTACATAGTGTGTTTTGAAAGTGTTGGTGTGTACATAATTTGTGAGTAGATGCTGCCCAGACATCAGCTATGTCCAGCATGTACCTGTATAATTTACCTGTAACACTACAAAGACATTAGTGTTAGATTCTTCTTCAGCCAACAGTTTCAGTAGAGTTACCTCCCTTAATATGCTGAGCATGTTCCTTGTTAAAACTAACATTACCTGTTGATTGTCTTTATTTGAATTGTCTGTGTTCTGCAACATTTATAGAAAAACATTAGAAGCGTGCCATTGTTTGCATGTATGCCGGGTTTTTGTTGAGCTTGCATGTGACCAATTACTGTGAAAGGGGTGTTTATGTTACTGTAACAATGAGATGGGTAATTTGTGTGTTTAAATGTTAATCACTACTCTTACAGACTGAATTGTTCAGTAAGTTACGGAAACGGCAAAGTACAATGTCGTCTGATGAAGATGAAGATGATTTTGGTTTCCTACAATCCACCCGTGTACCCTATGATGAGGTCATAACGAGGGGTCGACCGAAGGTATGACTTAGTCGGCCTCGGGGTTGGGCTTCAAGTGTGGCTTTATGTAGATCAGCTTTATAGATAGGTGTGACCTAGCTTTGATCTCATGTGTGTTATGATCACTAATGTCATACACAAACATCACATCACATTGTGTTTTACAGTCACCAGTCACTGCATATAGCTGTGATATGTTTCACATGTGTGTTGTCATCTTTTCTTTTAGAGTGTAGTATGCTGTGTTCACAAATGGATTAACTTTTGTAGTGGTGTAGGCCATTGCTGTTTTTTTTATTATCATTTTTTTCTAGGTTTGCTTGACTTGTTTTGATTCTACATTCCTTTACCTTAACTGGTGACTTTTTGTTGCCTTAATTTCTGTACCTGAACTGTGTTCTGTGTTATTTTGCCTTCCTGCATACCTGAACTAGAAAGTTTTGTTGCCTTCCTACACCTGAACTAGAGATTATTGTTGCCATCTTACATCTGAACAAGGGATTTTTGTTACCCTCCTACACCTGAATAAGAGAGTATTGTTGCCTTCTTACATCTGAACTGGAGATTTTTGTTGCCATCTTACATCTGAACTGGAGGATTAATGTTGCCTATCAGCATCCGAAGGGGACATTTGTTGCCGTCCATCATCTGTTAAGCGAGACATTGTTATTGTTGGCTTCCTGTATCTGAACTGGAGATTTATATTGTTGCTTTACTACATCTGTACACCTGAAGTAGCTTATTGTTGCCTTCTTACATCTGTGTATAGAGTTTTTGTTGCCTTCTTACATCTGTGTATAGAGTTTTTGTTGCCTTCTTACATCTGTGTATAGAGTTTTTGTTGCCTTCTTACATCTGTGTATAGAGTTTTTGCTGCCTTCCTACATCTGATCATGTGAGTTATTTCTGCCTTTCAGCCTTAGTTCTACCTCTGAACAAGTCCAGTATTGCTGATTTCCTTTTCCTGACTTAGAACTCCAAATTTGATTGTGGTGGCTTTAATTTCTACTTTTTTACTTTTATTTTGCTTATTCTTGAAAAAATGTTGATTTGCCTTAATTTACCTTAATCATAATATGAATTGATCAGTTAACAGAAGAAGAACAATTTGTTACGACCTTGATACTGGATGTCATGTGACATCACAGTGGTTGACATGGCAATCTGAAACTGTCATATCATTATACTGATGAACAATTAACACTGATCTGTCTAGAATTAATATCTTAATATGCTTGTTTTTGCTGCTTATGTTTTTATTTTCATTTTCCTGAAAAATTACTGCTTGGATTTTTGATGACAAGATCATTCAGATTTACAATATGAATAACTAGTGCTAGTGTTTAGTCTTTTAATATATCATACATCATGTGTTGATAATTGCTAGCAATATGGGGGTTGTAGCAAGCCTTTCGTGGATTTTTGCAAGTCATGTGAGTTATTGCTAGCATTGTGTGGCTCATTGCTTATTTATGTGTGAGTATTGGCTCGTGCTGGTTTAGTCATTGTGAAAGCCTTTCATTACTACCAGTGTTCATGTAAGTTTTTGAAACAGTTGGTTGATTTTCACAGATAGTTGCTTATGAATGTGTAGTAGTAATAACATCATAAAAAATTGTTCTCCGTAAAATGAGCTGTCTCAAAGTTACTAAAAAGTAGCCTTTTTTTCCAGTGTAATATTTTTATATAGAACACTGTTTAGTTCTAAATGCAGTTTCACTTTTGAGATGTTGAAATCACTACAGTTACTGTTCTTATAAGATGAATTTCATAAAGATCCATGCTAGTGTCAGATATGTCTTAACATTGTTTGTCTCTGTTGTATCATCTAGTATTTTCTGATACAAGTATTGTTTAGGTTGTCATGAAATATCTAATGGGCAATGTATTCTAGGTTATCATTAAGCTAATTTTGTCAGGTAGATTATTAATCTAGTTTTTAGTTAGTAATTTTGACATTCTTGTTCCTTGCAGATTATCTAAAAACATTTTGTTTTTAGATGGAACTTTCAGTTCAATAAAAAACAGTTTGAATTTATTGAAATTATCATTTCATCAGTTTTCCAATTTATAATTAACAAATGTTTCTATCCTAGTTTATAAGATATCAGGAATATTATTTCACCAGTAGTACTGTGAAATCATATATTTTCACTGAGCTCAAATTTCATGGTTCTTAAAAAGAATTTGAGGATACATCTTGCTTGCAGAATCCACTAGTACCATAATCCATGTCATTTTTTATCTGTTCATTGTTTGGTGGATTAACATAGACCATGAAATTAATGAAAATGACCCCCTCAGTCTCACAAATAAATAAATGGAAATACTAAGGAAGGTTACACAGACTTTTCCTTTATTTAATTGTAAACATGTGAAGTGATAGGCACTTGGAAATCAAAATCTTATTTGATAACAACATCGAGGCAAGGTGATAGTAGAGTATACTGTATAACTTTGTCCTATCTCTGATGTCCAGCTGGTACAAGTATAAAGGATCAAGGTCTACATATCGTACCTTCTCTAATTAGAGTGCTGCTAACTGTCCGACAAGTTAATCAAATGTATAGACAAATTATTTCTTTTTGACATTTACCCCTGATCATCAAACTTAAGGAGGCTGTGTCATTTTTGAAATGTCAAAAAATGTACAAGCTGCAAAACACTCTGTATTTTATCTAGTTTTTGTTCATTTTGGATGTTATTTAAATGCTTAGAGAAAAAGGGAAGAAATTAATAGTAACACCAATAAAGTCATATAAATAGGATACCTGGAATCTTTCTGCTTGTTTTATTGGGAGTTCACCATTACCCTACCGTCTCCAGTGTGGAGGTTCAGGGTACCATGCCTTTGACAGAGGTTATCAACATACTGCTGGTTGTAGTGAGGGTTTACCATTACCTTACCGTCTCCACGGGGTGGAGGTTCAGGGTACCATGTCTTTGACAGAGGTCATCAACATACTGCTGGTTGTAGTGGGAGTTCACCATTACCCTACCGTCTCAACGGTGTGGAGGTTCAGGGTACCATGTCTTTTCCAAAATGAGATCAAAACCCGATTCCCAAATGAGCTGGAAAAAGCCTGGTTACTTAACTCCATACAATTTGTCAAAGTGTTAGCTCGATTGATGTTTGTTTATATCACACTAAATCAGTACAACTTGGCCCACATTTATTCCTAGCAGTCAGTGAATATGCTGTGGTATCTCCAAGTCCTGGTTAACTTTTGGTGTATGTAAAGATGTAGGGTAAATAAACAGACAAGCATTCATGCTGGTGGACCTGTATTAATCTCAGAGTCAGAGATAAACACTCCTAATAGACTGACTTACATAGCATGTACTAAATGGTACATGCCTTTAGTAGGATTGAACGGGCTATCAAATGATTACTGTAACCCAAATTTGTATAGGTATAATTATCAGAAAACATGTAATATTAGAGGTCATGGTCAAGTTTTGGAAATTCAACTTTGTATAGGTATAATTATCAGAAAACAAGTAATATTAAAGGTCATTATCAAGTTAAAGTGACCTTTCCATGCCCCATCTTCAGATCTACTTACAGAATCAGTCATCTTTATCATCACAACCCTGTTTGCAGTTTAGCATTATAAATAGATTGTAGACTGACCATATTGGCACCTGACACTTCAACACTCTCTTGTCCTATTTAATCCTATTTTGGTGGATTGGTGATTTGTATGAAATCCTTTGTGTTCTTTATGTTATTATTGTTGATATTTAACATATTATTGAAAGTATTGAATTTACATAATGTATTTGCAGAAAGTTTATAATTTTATAAAATAAGGCTGTTAGCAAATGTTAGAAATTAGTGGAGGGTTTTTTCTGATAAATACTATATTAAGTGGGATTATGTAAATAGAAGCAAATTTCCACTTTTATAAATGGCCTTGATCAAACTATTTTATCAAAGTAAAACAGCCAGTACATGTATAGAATATGTTTAATTTTTTATGTGGACCTGTATGCCAAGAACTTCTGGTGTCAAAATATTGCATATTTATTGTCATCCATGAAATAAACACACATAAAGCCTGTATGTGATGCTATTTATAACCAAGTTGATATGTTTATTTACACATTTACTTTTATAGTTATATATACAAGTGTGAGTAGTTTACTTCTGTCGCCATGGCAATGACACTTTGGTGATTTTCATTGCTTGATAGAAAATCCTGTTATTATCATTTTCAAATAATGTCACATTCATCATAGTGATTTAGAAATTAGTTCCGAGAAATCCTATACCTTTATAAGATCAATATAAAAAATTGATATTATATGTGTAGAGTATCATCACTTATGAAACAATACATTATAGCAGGGCTAGTATATTAGTGACATTGATGACTGAATCTTATATCTTATAGCTGTCAAGTCTTATTGTAAATCAAGCCTTGATGACGGAGTGTCCAATAAACCTATCTGTTTTATATCTAGACAGAGTGATAGCAGTCCCTCAGTAGAACCTTGATCAACTCCTGTATTACATGTGATACACAGTGTAGATAGAGAGTCTCATGATCTGGATTCCAGTTGCATCAACATCATAACTTATAAACATGACCTTATTCAGTTTACTTGGCCTAATTTTTTTGACCTATTTAAATCAGTGACCTAATTTATAGCATTATCGTTGACCTAATGAACATAAATCTTATTAGATTAAGTCAAGTGACATTGGTTTCAATCACTGATTTCTAAGATAATGTCATGTCATGACATTCTTCTCTTATCACAAAAAACATGGCAGAGTTGTTTTAAGTACAATAGGAATGTGATATGTGCAGATTTTGATATAATTAGTGAGGATCTTGTAACTTCTATCAGACCTTTAGGAAAGATGGCATTGGTGAGGCAGGAAAACAGGAAACTCCTCTATCTACCAGGCAGGGTAACTATCTGATAAGTCAGCATGCTGATTTGGCTTATTTCATTGGATTGAGATGATGCATGCTTGATAAACAGGTGTACAACCCTTCCCAGATCTGTTTGTACATATGTAACCTACTACAAAAGGCTGGATTTAGCTCCAGCTCATTGTCATTTGATTGGCTTCACGGTTTGAGTACAGTCATTAATTGACTGGAGATTTTTGGTTAGAGTTGATATTCAAACTAGGTCTTTATAAGCAAAGATTTATACCTGGTGTTTATCAACAAGGTATAATTTAACATATAGATCTATATGTACTTACATAAATCACATGGCTTAGATGGATAATGGCTGTGAAATACTAGAGCTGAGAGGTATTAGGGTGGTATCATCACCAAGGCAACTGCCTCTCAATAGTGTGAGGGATGTGTTATTGATCAAGCCATTGGTAGAGGCATCTTAGTGCATGTAATGGAGTGACAGTTGTATAAGGATTGACAGTCTTTTGACATTTGTCTGGATTTTTTTTATTATTCTTGGACACAAAGTTGATATAAGACATCAATTTCACCATCTCTCTGGTTGCTGGTATTGTAGACGTTGAAAATCCCACACAGTTATCAGTGACAAAAGGTGTATATATACGCTCAGTAACCAGTACTGGTGTAGGACTGGTGGTAGCAGTGAGAACACTCACACTGACCGCTAACATTATTATTACTCTGTGGTATGTACTGCTGACCACTAGTTGATGACCATTGTAATGACCTAACTGGACCTCCACTGACCATACAAGCAAACATGGATGCCAAGGTTTGTGACCTCATATATATATATAATACTTTAGCAACAAAGCCTCTTGTTGGCCAAGAAGACAAACCTGAACTTAACCGAATTCATTTACTTTTGGCTCAAAATCTTTTGATAAACATTTGAATCCTTATAATTCCCAGGAATGTATTGGTTGTATACAATGTGACACCAGTGTGTGCTGGCAAATTTTCATCATGTCAACAGAAGTGTTGTTGAGTAAAGTACAACTTAATGTATGGTTAGTATAGGACATATGTTGATTATCTGACACCTGTGATATTTGTCTGTTTGTCACTAGTGATATGGTTACCATTGTAGGCTTTTCTACTGACTTAAATTCAATGGAAATAATATGAAAGTCCACCGACCTTACACTATAGATAACTCCTGAGAGGTCAAACAATCTACCTCAGGTAACGTGATTGGGTCATCTGATCGCACACATCAACCTGAAAGATAAACAGGTGAAATTGTTGATGAGACAGGGACAGCTATAATAAGAATGATCAGAACTACAAAGTAACAGATTTGATTTCTCTCCAGGTTCTTGTGATGGATAGTCATCGTATGTACCTTGTGAGTATCACTTTCTTACCTGACTTACTCTAGATTTTTCCATTAGACAATGCTCTTGGTTTTACATTTACATTTCTATCCTTTTAGTTAATACTTTACAATCATGTGTGCTGTTTTTTGACTGTCTGAAGTGTTGCTTTTAATTTTTGAGTGGTGGGAGTGCTGGGGATTGGTTCTGGAGTTACTTATGTATTGATGACAACATGGAGAACCATTCTTATTTGATGTGGATTAATAATATTGAAGCAATTTACTTAATCTAACAGTGTTTTGATCAGATACATTTTACTAAGCTTCTATATATGAATTTCCTGAGTTTTTTTTATATACAGGGCACTGATTGGTTATCCAAATTGATCAGACTAAAGCTAATTGGATGTTGATGAAGCCATGCTAGGTTTAACGGGACCATATACCAATTTCTTTGGATTCTCTTAGCGATATGACATAAGTAGCCTTTCTTGAAGGTGATACTATTTGTGTATTGAACTACTATGAAAACTGTATGGTATGGTCTTGTTCTGATAGTGGATGTTTCCAATTTGTATTCTACTCTTATATTTCCTTAGTGTCTACATTATAGAATTGGATGTTTGGTATTTATATACAAATAATTTTGAGAAAAAGAAATCCAATTTCTGGTCGCTAATCTATCTGGCCAAGAGCGTACATTTTGCGCTACTTGCAAGAGTATGTAACCACTGTCAAATTGGCCTGTATATGTAATGCTGATTCTCCTGTGTACAAAGTACTATTATTTAGCCTGCTATTAATTAGCCTGCAGGACCACATCATTAGATAATAGTACACTAGTATGCAGACTCTGTAGAACTGCCAGGAGATCATGCCATGCGTACACACATAGGTACTATTAATGTCTAGGTAGCAACTCTTTGAAATCGCATATAATTATCAGGTGGCTCACAGGGTAAAGTTATGTTCATTGGAGGGTAGGTTTCATCATTATGTGCATTTTCTAGAATTTGAAGGCCATTATGATATAAAAAGTGAAAAAAAATGTCTTTTTCTTTGCTCTATGTACCAGCTAAGTAGCATGCTAATTTACTTTATGAAGTCAGGGGAGTTAATCCTCATATCCACAGAATTATCACAGGAAAACAAAGCTTTATCACTTAACTCAATAATCAGCCCACCCATGAAAGAGACCCAGGCAGACCTTGTCTTCAGTTTTAAGATTCAAGTCAGTTTATCAACTGATATAGCTTATACAGCTCTACACAAGTTTGTAGAAAATGAAGCTTGAAATTAACTGTTCTATGAATGTGCTCACAATATCATGAAGAACACATTTAAACTCCTTTGTGTGTACTGTCTAATATCTTTGTCCAAATTTATAATCTTCGTTGCTTAGACTCATTTCTTCGGTTCTAACTGACTTTACTTATAAAAAGACTCCTACTTTCCCATTCCATATAATGTTTTTTGCTTATCAATGGTGAAGTTCAAAAAGTAAGATAAAGGTGTTGCTTTGAAGAACACTGCAATCAGTAGTAATGAGCTAGGGAGGTAGAGGATGATAAACAATCTCATGGTTATAATTACCATAGTTACGACACCAGTCCTCTGGTAGTTACGCCATACCTTTGTAATCTATGTATACCAAGAGAGAGCATCCTGTTGTAGATAGATAACACACCAGACATTCGGAGGGTGGGGGATTTATTGTTGTGTACCATACTTAGTGCTAGCAATTAGGGAATATTTTAGGTACTGTTTTCTGAATTACAATTACAGACATATTATTGGGTTATTTATAATGCTGTTGTCACTCCTATTCCTGAACACTTTATACTAATTGATCACTCACTGTCTTTTTAGTTCCAGTGATGTACAATGTAAATAGATATTTTTTTCTTTACTTGTTCTGCACTTCTACCTTTTTCACTTATAAGGACTTGAGGTATAGTTATATTTAATGAAATGTCTCCATGCAGTGTATGTGTTACAATGTGCATGTCAATATTTTCCAGATTTTCTTGCTCTCAACTCTACATTTATGTGTTATTACATGGTGACATGTGGCTTTTATATATATTCAATTTGCGTTACAAAATTCTAAATAGAAAAAACATCAGCTGTAAAAATGATGTTAAGTACACAAAAATGCCACCACATTACCAATAAGAGAAACTATCGTGCGACACTTCGAATGATATATGGTACATTATTACTGTTAGATATTATTCATATCATGTTGCATGGCTGGCTGTTTCACTGGGTATAAGTTAGTGATATGTGTATGTGAGCCTGACAGCTACACATCAGGATTGGGGTGGAATGCCAGGTTCAAGGATGTTGTAATGGCGTATATTACTATGAATGAACTCCTGGTGTGGCTCATGGAACCAATAGAAAGCCCCAGATGTTGGGAGTACAAGAAGCTCTAATTACCTTGTAATTGGTTGTTGTTTTACCACACCACCTACAGCTCCCTTCTACCATAGCCAATGTCTTCAGCCTACCCATTCCTCTAACTTCAGATTTTCTTTTTATTTATTTTTTTTACTAGCTTAATTTGTCATTGATCTCATCTCCCAAACAATGGCCTTCTTGAAAGAACTTCTTTTTTCTAAGTCATATCTCATCAAACTCAAGCTTCAAAGTTCTTATTTAAAGTCAAAGGTCAAAGGCCAAGGTCTCTCTTTATACATACAGAATCCTCAAACTATTCTATCATGGTAAGAATTTTAGCTAGATTTAAATTTTCTATAGACTTCTTATAGAAGTCTCTTGAATTTGTTCCTTTAGACTCTCTAGCTCAATCCTCTATTTTATTTTTAGATTTAATTTCGTAACTATTAATTTTGTGATATCATTCTCAATGAATATTTAATGGCAATGTTTTTTCGTTTACCTTAGAATTTGAATCTTACATTTGAAGTTAGCATATTTATGTGACTTAATTTTCTTGCGAGTTTTCATATACATACAAGTTGTAACAACACAAGAACTATGTTCATGAATATTTGCCATGGTTTACAGTAGTGACTGAATTAGATTAGGCATTGTTTCATTCATAAAATTAATTTGATATTTTTTAAACAGTAGAGATGATGTGGATATAGCTACAAATTGCTCTCATTGAACTTAAATATTATTATTATTAAATTGCTGACTTTGGACAGATTTCATTCATCACATCCTGTTGTTCCTGTCCTTCATCATACCTTCACTGATAACAGTTGACAGGCATACTCTGCTGTAATTTTCTACTCCCATTACAGCTAAATATTGACATTTTTGTTTGATCAGATTACTGTGTAGAACAGGATGAGTAAATTAAGTTTAAGTTGTGACCTTCAAGTCAAGGTCACAGAACTTCCTGTCTGTTAAATGTCAGCATTCCTGATAATAATTATGTATATATGATTGCTCCAGAAAATTGACATTATAACTTTTTTTTTGTCCTGAAAATGTGAATCATGGATAAGATGGGAGGTTCAGCCATCAAAAGTAGTAGGAGGGGACCTGTGGAACCAACCCCAACATGTATTAGTTGAACATATTAAAAACATCAATCTTATACTGGATATGTTTAAATGATTGTTTATGAATCATAAGATGGACGACATTTAGTACTTTCTAATTTAAGACTCCTTTTTGATGTGTTATTGTACAGTACACCATCTTAAACGTCAGCCATAACTGTCATTTATGTCTGAAATATTGAAAGCTTTGAATTTGTCTTGAAGTCTGAGTCACTGTAGGTAGGATGCTGTGACAGTGAGAGATGAGATTTTCTATGTCTGGAGGTCTATCAGCAGGCTTTTTTTATACTTTACTTACAATAACTACCGCTTTCTGAAATCACATGTTAAAACTATCTATAACTATGTATAATAATAACATTAATTTACATATCTAATGTTTTAAAAGTGTCATATAACCAAGTATTTCTTATTTGGAGTGACAGTTTTTTTGTCGTTATAAATTTCATTGAACTTGGATGTTTGTTGATCAAGGTGATATACAATGCTTGTCTGTTACTATGTAACTTGTAGACACAGTGTAGAATACTTCAGTACTGCACAACAGATGAGGTAATCCTGCCTTTTAACACCGAACAGCAGAAAATCGATGACATAAGACTGGGATGTAGACGTTTGTAAGGGTACATGTTTACAAATTGTTTCAGTAAAACAAAGAGGTTGTCAACAGGTACAGGAATGATTGGACACATACTCCACAACACTCAGTAATCTGTATCAGTCTTGTGTCAGTCTAAATCAGGAAGGAGATATATTTGTAGGACCAAATACAGTTCTAGATGTCTAGGGAAAACGAAAATAATCAATTAAGTGACCTTTCTGTTCGTACTTGTGCAGCTTCTGGAAGGTAAATTTCATAATGTGTTAATTCTTATTGAGGTAAAATAATTCTCTCTTTTTATGTTAACTTTTTTTTACAGATATATTTATTTGATTTCTATAGTTTTTTTTATCTAAGAGTCAATCTGTCCTTAGTCTGTATGTAAATATGAAGTCAGTGTGTCAGTCCTAGATCTGTGTGTCTGTCCTTAATTTTTATGTAAATACCAGGTCAGTGTCTTAGTCCTAGATCTCTTGTCAGAGGTAAGATCTGTATGTCAGTCTAAAATCTGTTAATGTATGCTAGGTACTTGTGTGCGTCCAAGATCTGCACTTCTTGTGTCAATCCAGTATTTAGGTGTCGGTGTGTTCATCCTTGATCTATGTATCAGTTCTGTATGTCTAGCCAAGATCTATGTGTCTGTCCTGAGATCTGACAGTGTGTCTTTTTATCAGTTCTGATCAGTGTGTCAGTCATAGATCTTTATGTTAGTTTAAGATTGATATGTCTGTCCAAGATCTATGTGTCTGTCCAAGACACTGTCAGTCTTAGATTTGGATGTTCATTTTACATCCATGTGTATGTCCTAAATATTTTGGTCTGTCCTAAATCTATGGATTAGGCCTAGATCCATGTTCTTTAGATCTGTATGTCAGTTTTGGATCTGTATG